AGTTACGTGTGCAGGTAACTAACTACTTACTGGTTTACCAGTTACGTGTACAGGTAACTAACTACTTACTGGTTTACTACCTTTACATTAGAATTATTTTGATGCTATGAACAGGAGTTACGTGTGCAGGTAATTAACTACTTACTGGTTTATTACCTTTACATTAGAATTATTTTGATGCTATGAACAGGAGTTACAATTCTAATGTAAAGGTAATAAAGCAGTAAGTAGTTAGTTACCTGCACACAATTATAATGTAAAGGTAATAAACCAGTAAGTAGTTAGTTACCTGCACACGTAACTCCTGTTCATAGCATCAAAAAATGTAAGGGTATTAAACCAGTAAGTAGTTAGTTACCTGCACACGTAACTCCTGTTCATAGCATCAAAATAATTCTAATGTAAAGGTAGTAAACCAGTAAGTAGTTAGTTACCTGCACACGTAACTCCTGTTCATAGCATCAAAATAATTCTAATGTAAAGGTAGTAAACCAGTAAGTAGTTTATCCTTACATTAGAATTATTTTGATGCTATGAACAGGAGTTACGTGTACAGGTAACTAACTACTTACTGCTTTGTTACCTTTACATTAGAATTTTTTTGATGCTATGAACAGGAGTTACGTGTGCAGGTAACTAACTACTTACTGGTTTATTACCTTTACATTAGAATTTTTTTGATGCTATGAACAGGAGTTACGTGTGCAGGTAACTAACTACTTGCTGGTTTACTACCTTTCCTTTGATTGTTATTTTCTATTTAAATTTTTTTCGTGTTCTTTCTCTCCTTTTACGTTTCTCTCTGATGAGTCACTGTATTTCTGCGGCATAACTAGAAGAACTATTCCAAGAAAGTAAGACTGGCAAGGTTTTCTGTTAGATGTGAAGTTTTCTCCCACATTGTGTCAGGCTTTCCAAGTTTTGATTATTAGGCTTCTGATTAATAATGATTCGGCAGGAATTTCCTAATAGGTCACATTTCAAATAATCCCAGAGAAAGAATCCTGTGAAGCAACAACATTTAATAGAACGAGATGGGAGGGCAACCCCAGCTATGGTGAACCTAGATGGGAGGCTTTTTTGGGGCTTGTAATTATTCACACATAGTATACATGATGGGTTGGAAACAAAATGTATGTTTAGTGAAGAATAAGCCAAAAATAGGAAAGACTGTTTTCTTTGCCGATGCATTTGAGTTAGAATCAGTATTGCTAGAAGCCATAAATGTTGAAAGAAAGTTGTTCTCCGTGGATCTGGTACTTGAACTACACTTTGTGAGTTCCTTAGCATATGCATTCAACATTGAACCATAAAGAGTTAGTAGAAGCATGGTTTCAGTGGAAGGAAGGCAAGAGGGGTCTGAGTTAATCTGCCTTCTTGCTGTGAGATGAAACAGATATTTTCAATAACTGTTTAAATAAAGCTTAAGGAAATTCTGTTAATGTCTGTTAATGGCTGTTAATGTCAAATGCATTTACATCGCACACCCTCAAGCACTGAAACCAATAAGTCAATAACATTTAGTACAAAACGCCATTCCTGGCAAGTGGTAGAATACCCTACTTAAAGAGATACAGTGTAATGGCAGCACAGGACAGTCGTTTGGTCCCACTTGTGACTTGATCAGATACTTCACAATAACAGATCTGTCGGAAGATGAGAGACCAATCAAAGTTCAATTGCCAAAATCCTGACAAAGATGGGGTATTCTGCAGGAGTACCGTCATCTGCACCAGCTACGACTTCCTGTATGACAAATTCCATTCTCCAGAGTTTCTGAAGTTTTCACCAAAAAAAAAAAAAAAAAAACTAAAGTGAGACTAAGCATCGGTAACATGTGTGTGTGTGTGGGGGGGGGGCTAGCAACAACACTTTCAGGCAGGTCAACCTATGCATCGAACTGGTTTGAAGCCTGAGCTATTATGCTGTAAGAGAAG